TCACCACACCCTCTCCAGCAGCTGTTATTTTTTGAGTTGTTGATAATTGCCATTCTGACTGGAGTTAGGTGGTATCTCAGTGTGCTTTTGATTTGCATCACCCTGATGATTAGTGAGGTTGAGCATTTATTCATGTGTTTGTTGACTGCTCAGATGTCTTCTTTTGTGAAGTGTCTGTTCATATTTTTTGCCCATTTTATAATGGGGTTGTATGTTTTCTTCTTTTTAGTACGTTTCAGTTCCTTGTAGATCCAGGATATTAAGCCTTTGTCAGACCTCGAGTTGGCAAATACTTTTTCCCAGTCTGTAGGCTGTCTCCCTGCTCTCTTGATGGTTTCGTTAGCTTTGCAGAAGCTTGTCAGTTTAATAAGGTCCCACTTGTCTATCTTCTCTCTTATGACCTGTGGGTTTCGGGTTTTGTTCAAGAATTGGATGCCAGTTCCAATTTCCATGAGGGTATTTCCTTTCTTTTCTAAGGTTCTTATGGTTTGAGGTTTTACATTTAGGTCTCTGATCCATTTGGAGTTAGCCTTTGTGCATGGGGATAGATAGGGGTCCTGTTTCAATCTTCTGCATGTAGTCAGCCAGTTTTCCCAGCACCATTTACTGAATAGGTTCTCCTCTCCCCAGTGGTAGGTGGTGGAGGCTTTGTCAAAGATGAGTTGGTTGAGAAATTGAGGTTTTGCTTCTGGAATCTCAATTCTATTCCATTGATCTATATGCCTATTCCTGTACCAATAGCAAGCTGTTTTGGTGATTGTAGCTTTATAGTAAAGTTTGAATACCAGCTTTATAGTATTGTGATACCAGCTGCTTTGTTTTTTTTGCTGAGGATTGTTCTGGCTATTCTTGGACATTTGTGTTTCTGTATGAATTCCTGTGTTGTTTTTTCTAGAGCTGAGAAGAACGTTGTTGGTAATTTAATGGGTGTTGCATTGAATTTACAGATTGCCTTAGGTAAGATGGACATCTTCACAATGTTGATTCTTCCAATCCATGAGTATGGGATATTTTTCCACTTGTTTGTGTCATCTTGGATTTCTTTGAGCAGTGTTTTGTAATTTTCATTGTAAAGGTCTTTCACGTCTCTGGTTAGGAAGATGCCAAGGTATTTCCTTTTTTTTTTGGCTATTGTGAATGGAATTGTGTTTTTTATTTGGGTTTCTGTTTGTTTATTATTGGTGTAGAGAAATACGATTGTCTTTTGTACATTTATTTTGTATACTGAGACTTTGCCAAAGTCCTTTATCAATGTAAGGAGGCTTTTGACAGATTCTCTTGAGTTTTCAAGGTACACAATCATATCATCTGCAAAGAGAGATAACTTGACTTCCTCTTTTCCTATTTGGATACCTCTGATTGCCTCCTCTTCTCTGATTGTTCGAACCAGGACTTCCAATACTATGTTGAACAGGAGGGGTGAGAGTGGGCATCCTTGTCTAGTTCCAGTTTTCAGGGGAATTGGTTCCAATTTTTATCCATTTAAGAGTATGCTGGCTGTGGGTTTCTCATATATGGCTTTTACTATTTTGAGGTATATTCCCCGTATGCCTAGATGTTCAAGAGTTTTTATCAAGAAGGAGTGCTGGATTTTATCAAAAGCTTTTTCTGCATCTAATGATATGATCATGTGGTTTTTGTTTTGACATCTGTTGATGTATTTAATTACATTTATGGTTTTACGAATGTTGAACCAGCCTTGCATCCAGGAATGAAGCCTACTTGGTCACGGTGGATGATTTTTGAGATGTATTGCTGAATCCGGTTTGCTAGGATCTTGTTGAGAATTTTAGCATCTATGTTCATCAAAGATATTGGCCTGTAGTTCTCTTTCTTTGTTGGATCTTTACCTGGCTTGGGTATCAATGTGATGTTGGCTTCGTAAAATGATTTGGGGAGAGTTCCGTCTTTTTCAATCACCTGGAATACCTTCAGTAGGACTGGTATCAGCTCCTCCTTAAATGTCTTGTAGAATTCTGCTGGAAAGCCATCTGGACCAGGGCTTTTTTTTGTAGGAAGTTTTCTTATTACGTAGTCGATTTCCTTGATTGTTATTCGTCTATTTAAGGTCTCAATTTCTTCTTGTTCCAACCTAGGTAGGTTGTGTGATGTCAGAAAGTCCTCCATTTCCTTAAGGTTTTCAAGTTTGTTTCCATACAAGTGTACATAGTAGTCTCTAATGATCTTTTGAATTTCTTCAGGGTCTGATGTGACTTCATCTTTTGTGTTTCTGATTGTGCTTATTTGGTTTTTTTCTTGTTTTTTCTTGGTCAGTCTAGCTAGGGGACCATCGATCTTGTTTATCCTTTCGAAGAA